ATTTGATGGCTTTAGGCTAAGAAGAAATTTCTGGTCTTCCTGACATGAGAAGGCGAGACAAATTAGCCACTCACGCTCGAATTCCACTAATGATGATTCTTCCCATAAGGCACGCTGGAAGACCAAATGCTCAGAGATAAGCACATCAAAACTAACCATTTGGGTACACTTTCCAGTGTAAAGACTCTGCCATTAAGGGGCCTGCCCTTGAGAAGGGACTTTAATACTGGTCCCCTGGCCAGGAGGGGGCATCTCAGTGGCAGAGCATTTGTCCAGCATGTGCTGGACTGGATCCCTAGCATATGAATATTTTTAAATTTTTCTTTTAAAAATGGTCCTTCCATATCCTATTTCTAACTGCCAGATCAAGGATTGACTGTAGTACTGGTGCATAATTTAGAAGCACATTCCCCTCCACTTTGTAATAGTTAAATCCCAAGATGATACCACAAGGCTCAGGACTATTAGCCTTGCAGACAGTGAACGTCTATTTATACTCTGTAACCTTTCTGCTCTTTGCAGATGTTTGCTAGGTTTTTGTCATATTTGAATATCTAAATAGTAGATGACAATTCTGTTTTCTATACCACATATATTCAGGGCCATTAGTTAATGTTGTGGGAAAGAAACTATAGATTCTTTCTCCACATTTGAATCTGTTTGAATAATTTCAATAAAATGAATGAGAGAATATTATTATTTTGGGAGGACACAGAAAATACACAGGACTGAGGTGCTCCTAGTTTGCTTCCCTCCATTAGCCTGTGATTAAACTTTGTTGTGTGCACATCTATACAATGGGAACATGTTATAGTTTGTGTCTGGAAGTCCCGCTGGTCCCTCTGCAATCATGAGAGGTGGGATTCTTTGGAGCTGAATCTAGTGTTTGTGACTGATTCATAGTGCAGGGCTGGGGTTAAGAGTGCTGGAATTAAGGGTGGATGACTGCTGGCTCCCCCTACTGACATTGGCACCACCCTGATCCCAGAAGTCTGGATAAAATAAGAGGGCAGAAAGGAGTTTGCTTCACTATTTTTGCCCTTGTTGCTTTGCTGTCTTCTGTCACTGCAGCCACCAGGAACTGTTGCCCCTCTGCCATCTGCCACTCTGCCTTGGATCCAGCCAAGTACAGACTGAAACCTCCACAAGTGTGGGCTAAATAAACCTTTCCCTTTTTAACTTTGAGTGTCAGGTATTTTGTCCCAGCAATGAGAGAAAGTAATAGAACGGTAATCACACCCCACCTACCAGCCTTTCCATGTAGAGTTAACAGTCAACCACCCACTGCAAGAACACAGACCTCTCCTCAGGCTGAATTACAGTTTAAAAACTGGCCCTTGTCATTTTGCTAGTTATGTGACCTTCATAGAAAGGTAAAAAGTGCTTGCCAGATTGTCTGGTGCACAATAAATGTTAAATAACCAGCCCCTGTCATATATCCTTTGAAAATTGTAAAGTACTCCACCAATATTCACTTCTATTATCCAAAGATATACATAAAATAAGACATCCAGTAATAGAACACTCTTTAAATACATTCTCAGGGCCCAGTATCACATCGTCGCTTATCGCCAAAGCCAGCCTGCTCTTCCAGATAGAATACTCATAACTCTCCCACAGAGGCAGAAGGCTCGCCATAATTCTTCTCCATCTTTGAAGCCTCAGCCAGCTGTATCAGTTAATAACCTCACTAAAGGTTATCCATTAGAAAGAAGGAAAGAACGCCCTAATTACTGTAGTCCGACATGTCATTAGTTATGTCCATGGCTCCTATGAAGCCTAGCTGGCATTTATGGAAACGGGACACGCTAGGGGAAAATGTTACATGCAGACAAGTACTGCATGTAAATATTAAATAGCTCCCCACCACTGACGAATCCATTTCACAGGCAATACATCATCAGAGAAACCCTCTCTTTCTGATTCTGTTCAACACTGACACTTTATTTGCTCAAGCTATAAAATTTTTATTTGGATTCCGTGGGTATTTTAATAAATCAAAGTTACTTTTACCTTCCCCTCTTGTTAAATAGAAAGAACATGTAGAATAGTTCCTTGACTAAGTAATTTAACCTCATTCTTGCTTAATTTGTGAGAAATAAGTATCATTTTTAACCCCCTGATTGTAAGTCTAGTATCTCCTTTCTAAATAAGACTATTATCATTGGAAACTTCAACTCTGTTATTAGCTAGGATTTGTTTAACCTTGGGGAAATCTCTAACCATGTTGTTTTCCTTTGCAGGAATTGAATACAATTTCTACACACTGTTGAGTATGACCTGGTTCAACTCATTTTTATGAACACTAGCAGATAGTAATGTGTAGATAAATGCATGATGTGGATTTTTACAAGATAATATCTAGGATTTGTTACTGTGCTGTGGTCACACACATAAATGAAAACCTCATCACATGGCTTTGCTCCTGGACAGTATGCCCACACCAGCATTTGAAGATGCCTATTGTACTCATTTTGAAAGATTTTCTATAACTACAAAATATTCATATAAAATGACTGGAGGATTTTTTTATAGGAAGAATCTGGTTTAAATAATTTATTATAAGAATGAATTATATCAGGAAACTGAGACAAACTCAGTAAATCTTTCCTATGTAATGGGAATCCAGTCTTTCCCTGAGGGACTCATCCAATTCCCTTTAAATATAATTTTTCTTTTAAATACAGTTTTTGGGAAAATAGGTGATAAATGTATTTTAATATAGTAATGATATTGGCAAAACAAGGACTTATGAGTTTTTACTTAGGTCATAACCAGTTTTACATAATTATAAGATAAAGAAGTTTTGGTTTCTAGAGATTTCCATACTATTAAATTAGTATGGAAATTCTTTGTGCATAAAGGAGATAAAATTTATATATTATTCTAAATCAGAAAGCCTGTAATTTAGATCAATTTTTATACTTAGTGAGTATTTTAATCTCAGAAAAGGAAATGATGGTGGATCTTTTACCTGTAACCCATCATGGACAAAGAGATTTTATTTCATAGTGATAATATCACCCTAACACAATTATCTCAGCTTTAACTTTTTAGCAACTTGACTAAACATGTTTGTTCAAAATAAAAGACACTACAAAGAAAATAGCTTAAAGCTAGGTTTGGTGTGAACTGAAATATTTCCCCCAGTTCCAACATTTAAATCGTTAAAATTAGCATATAGAAAAGACCATTGTCTTAAAGACCTTTTAGTTAGATGAGGACAATCTAACTGCAAACACTGAACATTTGGATTACTGTTTTTGTTTTTGTTTTTTGACAATCTCTGATTTTCCTCCCAGACATTAACTAAAAGTACCATGGTCTATTATTGAGTCATCAGGAAAACCATAAAAATAGGCTGAACTAACACGTATCTACTCCCCTCCGCAGCAAGACAAACACAAGGCACTGCTGGGCTGGCGTTAGAGAGCAAGCACAGGACCTCAAACAGGTGTCACTGCTGGCAGAACCATTAGCCACCCCGCTTCTCCACAGCTTTCAGGAGAATCGGTACTCCCTCATTTTCATTTTTAACAAGACCTCCTCTGTTCTATGGAAAATTATTCCCAGGAAAATTTCTAGAAGACTATCTAGCCTGGGATGAGTGCCCTCTTAGTTAAACACCCAAGCTCACCCTCCAGTACGTGGACTCTGAACAGCAGATGAGGATGCCACAGAAGCACCTGGTTCCGCGGCTGGGCTGCCCTCCCCTTCACGAGTGGCACACATGTAGCAGAGAAGAAAGCATCTGAAGGCGATGAATGTCCAGGCTCCTGAGTGGGCAGTCAAAGGCAAGGTAAACCTGGACATCCAGAATCCAGGAGGGTGAGAGACGGAGGCAGCCTTAGAAACCGTGAGCTCAGAGTTCTCATTCCTTACCATGTCTCAGACTCACTTGGGACACCAGAGAGGACTGCGCAAACCTGGACCACCGTGGAGGTGCTGATTCAGAGCTAGCAGGCAGCAGGGACACAGAACACTTCCTAACACACCTTCCTTCATTCTCAAAACAACCTTATTAGGTAGGTCCTACTATTTCTCCCATTTTACAGATGAGTAACTCAAGACACAGTGGTGATTCAGGAAACTGTTGAAGGATATCCTGCTAGGAGTGGAAGGAGGATTCAACCAGACAGGTTGAGCAGTCACCCCTACCCTAAACTACCCCCAAACAGAGTTAGGGTTAGGTCTAGGACGTTAAGGAAATATCCTGGTTGAAGTGGCCCCTTTCTCTTGTGAATGGAGAAACTGCACTTCCAGAAAGAGATCCACCATTACATGGTACCATCTGTTTTTAAATACTCAGTATTCTTCTATATGTTCCTGCAGGGAGGAAAGGATAAACTGCACTATTAAAAGCCATCTCCTCAGTTCCTGCCATGTTTCTTTGACCAAGGTGTTGTTCTTGGTCAGAGGTTTCATCCTTCTCTTTTCCACTCACCATTCACTCACAGAACCTGACACACTCCAGTCAGTGTAAGGGGTTCCCAGTCATGGTGATTTTCAAGGGGAATAAGGGGAGAAAGTAGTGACTGGAATGAGGGAAATAAGGCTCATATCATTTGAGAAAGAAGATGTAATTCTGATATCCTTTTAAGGACTCCCCCCACCTAAACTGACAGTGCGAAAATCACAGTACACATCAAAACATGATCAGCTCTTGCTTTATAGCTACCTACACAGGCAGGGGAGCACTTAGATCAGATTCATGCCAAGCTGGAACTACTCCCGTACATCCTCTTAAAAGCTGATAAACATGCTTCCTAGTCACATCTCATATACTGGAGCGGGCTATCTCCATTACAGATTTATTGAAACAGTACCTTTTTGCTGCCAAACTATCACAATAATTTTAGAGGACCTTAAGCAAGGATAATAACCCATCAATTCCCAGTAACAGACAATCACAATGCAGAGGCAGTTTCAAGATAACAAGTGTCAGGATCAGACTGTCTTCCCGCCCCAGTGACGCACACTGATGGCCACGTCAAACCAACCTTCATCACTTCCACCTGCAGGTCCTCATTGAGCGAAGGCGTCACTTTCACAGCATTCAGGACCTGATTGAGCAGCTGCTTCTCATCAGAGTCTGTTTCCATGGATACAAACCTCTCTTCAGAGAGCAGCTTCTGTAAAGAGGCACAAGGCAGTGATCACAGATAGACTCTCCCCTGCTGCCCGATTCTGTTCTAGCTTATTATGTACTGATGATCACTTTTCCCACTCGGGATGCACGTGGCTGGAAGCTATTAGGAAAGAACTCATGCTACATGCCATTAAAAACAAAAATGCAACCAACTTTGGGCAAATGGATTTTGCAAAGACTTTTTATGATACTAGATAATTCATTCTAAATTCCAGTTAGTGAAATTCTGATGTGCTGGCCACCTCGGTGATTCAGGTGGTGGTGGGGACGGATGATGGATGTGCCAAGAGCCCCACATAGTAATAATCTACATGCATTTCCTTCTGGATGGAGCTTTGCTGCATAAAGGCAAAGGGAATTGCAGACCACAAGTCCATTTTTCAAGTGTTTATATTCTTACTTCCTAATGTGAGCTGTCATTTATCCAGGAATATTCATGAATCCACAAATCTTAATATGTATCCTAGTAGAAAAGGAATCAACTAAAACCTAGACGAGAAGGTAGGACTTGCTTTGTCTGAGGACTCCCACAAGTCTCCCTAGGACAGCCCTCGGCTATTTTAGGGCATCTCTTATTTTTCACACCATTGTTCTCCGGGTTCTCCATTATTCTCCAAGGCCACTACTGTACAACTTTACTCCCTTGTGTTTCCCTAGAGTCACAAGGATGAAGCATCCAGCAAATCTGATGCCAGCTTTCAAGTCCATGCAAGTCTTTTTTGACCATGCTGAGCCTCCACAAAGTTGTCGCACTCAGAATGAGACCACCAAGTGAGTGAGGCACTTTCAGGGAGGCCTGACTTTAAAAAATGATGCATAACTTGAGTAACTTTCTCAGGTCAGGCATAGTCTACGTCGACTCACCCTGGAGCCCCTAATTCTTACTTGAAAGGCTGCAATTAAGCTGTTCTCCTCCATTTTTAATGGTACTACAGATTTTTTGAGACCACAGTTGAGAGCTTTATATTTATCCCTGTCTGATTTGTTCTTTCACTGCACAGTTCAGAGCTATGACTTGGGGGGAAACTTTGGCATCGTTTCAGCCACTGCAATGAGGCACCTCTTCTCTGTGGGGCTGGCATCAAGTACTTCTGATCTTTGTAAGTAAGACTCCATGACATGGTCTATTTATTTCAGAAGAGATTTGTTTTTGAGAGTCACGTAGTATATCCAAGATGGCCCAGAGTTAAACTTTATCACAAAGCTGTTTTTACTTCAAGTGATAAAGAATGGGAAGCCCTGAAAATGTGCTAAAGTTAGACAGCAGGCAGCAAGAGATAGATAGTAAAGAAACTTAGAACTCACTGAGTCACTGAAGCTCACACTTACATAGTTTACTACAACTTAGAATGTTTCAGGATTTAAAAAGGGCGGGGCAGGGGGGGAACAAAATGGGAAATCTACACAACAAACTCTCATTCATTCTATGGGGTGGCCCAATTACCTTAGAGGAAAGCAAAAGACTTTTCATAACAACAAGGTTTAAAATGTCAAATGCAGTTGCATGTTAAAATGCATTGTATAATTAAATCAACTGAGGGTAAGAAGTGCATTTCCTCACTCTTTCAAACTATGTATTAACTCCTGAAAGGCATTAGGTATGTCACTGAACTTAAAAAACTATCCATAAAGTTGTCCTTACTGACAGAAAAGATACTAACGGATGCCACCCATATATAGTCTCAGACCCCTGCAGGCTTGAACTTCACCATGCTTGTCTCTAGGAACCAAGTCACTCTAAAAGCTCAATGTATTTATATGGCCATCACCTTTTCATTGTTGGAATTGGACCTATAATGTTTTGTGTAAAACACAAACACTCAGCTAGGTAGGGCGGCACACACCTGTAATCCCAGCACTCGGGAGGATCTCCATGAGTTCCAGGACAGTCTGGGCTACAAGAGTGAGTTTTAAAGAACAGCCTAAACTATGCAACCTGTCTCAAAAAAACAGAAGCAAAACAAAACAAAACCCTCAAAACTAGAAACAAAACCACCACAATGTTCAGAGAAAAAAATGTATTCAACCAATCTGACTCTTCTTACTAAACCAAACTTATTTTTTCTTCCTAGGATTCAAACACCAATCTAGATGAATAATAAAGTAAAATATTTCTAGTTCACTATCAAATCTCGTTACGTAGAGCCTTGTATGTTGAATACACAAAAGATCTGAATAGGGACGAATTTGGAGTCACTCTTTCTTGGGACCCCTCGTTCTCCCGAAAACTGGGCTCCACAAAAAAAGATTTCATATCTTTGTGAGCTTAACTGGTTCTCCATGAATCAATGTTTGACTGCAAAGACTCGACCAAATAATGCTGTGCATAGAGACATTCCGGTGAATAAGAGAAAATATGTGATCTTCTGTGGTTATTTCCCAGTTCCATAACATCCCTGCCCAGATTTTTATACAGCCAGTATGTAAAATGTTACTGATTGGCTCATTCAGTGCCAAACTGGCCTGTCAATTTCTGTCACTCTACATTCAGTCAAAGCTATACCTGCATCCCTGCCAAAGCATGTTGGGCCAGCTTCACATTCTTGGATTCCAAAGCCAGCTGGAGAGGCAGCAGGCATTTCTCTCTGGAAAACACAGAAATAAGGACAACATGTGAGCTCAGAAAGCTGGCAAGTGATACAAGCCTATGCACACCCACCTCAAACACTGCCACTCATCCACACGAAGACTATAGCCAACAGTGAAAATCCACGTGGGCTTAAAATACAGAAAAAAAAAAAGCCATGCAGAAATGATGGCTTACTTGAGCTTGCTTTCTTATTATGGCTACAAGAAGAGCAAATGCAGTTACTTTCACTAATTAGTAAATATTTATTAATATACAGTTCATTCAGAGACGTGCTTTGCTCTTGGGTTAACACACAGCTTGCACCCAGGACAGCTGGGATGAGCAACTCTAGGGGGCGCCATTTCCACAGATTTCTCTGCCTTGTTCAGAACCCTTTCCCTTTCCCTGCCTAGGAGATAATCACATCACCACCACCACTGTGCTTCGTGGGCACAAATTAAAATTCTATTATTTCAGTGATGCCTCCCCAACTCGAAGTACTCAACAATTGTTTCTAATTTTTAAAGTTCCTCTGCAGTTTCTATGAAGAAGTAGACTGAATTTTGTACCAGATGTATAATAAACACATTGCCATGACAGAAATATAATCAATTACTTACAGAATTGATCACAGAGAAACAAACAAACAAATAAAAATCCCACAAAACATGGAGGGCTACTTAGATAATTTAAATCTAAAAACAAATAAACAAACAAAAAAAGTGTGCCAAGAATAAACCAAAAGAGCTACAAAGGCAAAAAATAAAATCTTTCTGTTATGAGCATTCATGCTAAATAATTGAACAATAGAATTTAATCAAGGCTTTTAATCAACTCATTATTTCCCCACGGAGTTACACTGGCACAACAAATGACATGTCGCTGCATTTTACCCGCCCCCAATAAACCACAGCAGCCCCATTTTCAACCTGGGTGTATATGTGTAGGAGAAACTGCAAGCGGCACTGACTTTGCAGAGTATAAAAGCCACAAGGTAGGGGCTACAATTCTGTCTTTGAAAAAATACGGTCACTGTCGTGGAACACAATGACACAGAAAGTTAATTATAGCTCTGATTCCTCCCTTCCAGCCTGCAGCTCTGCTGCTAGTCTGTGAATTTCCATCGGCAGCACCTGAGAGGTGCAGGGAAGTCACAGACACTCCCCAATGCTGGCCACAAAGACTCCAGTGACAACCAGTGACAACCAACCATCAAGAAGAACTCTCCCTTCCTTCTTGCCTTTCCCCTCCCGAACCCAAAGTGATGGTTTCCTTTTTTTTGGCAACTGATTAACACCACAGCCATCTTTCATTAGCTCTGACAGACAAATGACCCAAGCCTGTTATTATAGTTGGGTGTCTGTAACTGTCACTGTTATTGTCATTGTCAGCTTGTAACACCTAAAAAGCAAACACCGCTGCCACCATCAGTGCAGGAAGAGCTAGTTTTTTCAACTTCGTTTCTTTTGTTTCACTCTAACTAGATTACAATTTTGTAAAAATTAACCAGGAGGAGGAAAGATCGGCAAAAAGTAGTAGTAAGGGACAGGTGGGTACCAGCAGAAGCAGCCCAGAGCTTCGCCTATAAACAAACCTGTGAATCAAGTATCCGCTAAGGTAAGTTCACTGCAAAAGAACTTTCATCTCTAATTTGGAGTCAGATCTTCCAGTGAGGCCACAGTACCAGGAAGCAAACCTGGAAGTGCCTGGTTCTCATAGACTCATAGCGAGGCAAATCCATCCATCAGGCAGCTCTGAGCTGCAAACACACAAGTGTTACATGTTCCTCACCAAGGGATCCAGCAAGAGTGGGTGCAATGTATCTGAGCAGCCAGGACCTTCTGAAAATGTTCAGCCGGTTACCCTTGGGAGGCAGTACCTTGTTTGCATGTAAATTGTCAGATAGCCAAACTCCCCTGCCAGTAAGTAGTATCGTGTGAAATCCCACCTTATCGTTGTGTGATGGACAGTGCTGGCCTGAGCCAGATTGCACCAGGTCTCCAGGTGCTTTGTCAAACTGCACCCCATGCCAGGCATGGCCACCATGTAGGCAGAGTTGGTCCAGCCAGGTTTGGGCTGAGTTGAAAGGTATCAGAGTTTAATGGAAAGACCACGGGTGTGGATCATGCAGACCTGGAATCCAGCCCTAACCATTCCCAACCAAGGTACTTAGCTCTGGGGCGTCTTAGGCCCCCATCTAGAAAAAAAATTGGCTCAAGACCAATCCTGAAGGCCTGTAGTTAGGGGTACGTAGATATATGAGGGGTTGGCAAAACCCTTTGTGTAAAAAGCCAGGTAGTAAATACTTCAAGCTATAGAATTCATATGGTCCCTGCTCTTATTCAACTCTGCTGAGACACAAAATAGTCACAGGCAAAAAGTGAATCCACAGACATGGTTATATTCCAACAGAGCTTTATTTATCAAACAAGCAAAAAGCCAAATTTGGCAGACAGGCTGTGGTTTGCTCAGTCCTGATGCAGATAAAATACCTAACACACCGTGAGTTTTCAGCATAGGATAAGTAGACCTAGGCTTTTCACGTATTCAGAATCTACGCAGGACACGTACTGTCTTAGCAAAACCAATTATAGCACCAAGGTCTGTCTTAAAAATAAGTGCTTTGAGAATGTACACTTACAGATGGATTTCATCTAGACATTGGCCAGGATACTACATCCACCCACCCACCCGTTCAAGCAACATCTGAGAGTCCATTTGGTGCCAGGTACCTTGCTGGTGCTGGGGAAGATCTAGCCAGGAGCACAACAGAACTGGCAAAGGCTTTCTATTGTGTTCACGGGACAAAACAGAGAAAAGAGAAAGTCAGCGTATACACTCTCCATGTCTAGTCTTGTCACTGTAACCCTGAAATACGCATTCCTACCCTTGTCTCACATTTGAGAAAATGTGGGTGCAGAGCAGTTCCATAAGCCTGCCCAAGACCACACGCAGCCAAGAGGTTCTGGAGACATCTAAATTCCTCCACCCTCCCAAACCATGTTCCTCCCAAACTCTGGCCTCAAAAGTTCAGAGCAAAGCTAGAATGAATAGACACAAGAAATCTGGCAAAAGACTGTGGCTGAAGGAGAGCCCCCAGCACTTTCAGGGGACTGCTAGCCCTCTAAACACTAATTCTACATGCATCTCAAATTGAGAGTCCCTGCCCTGGGAGACAATGACCCTGTTCAACCCAGCAGAAAGTTCAGGGTCTACACTGAGTAGACAGAGGGCTGTGTTTCCTGGCTTGCCTGGGCAATTTTGCTAAGGTGGAATTGAAAGGATACTGCACTGACCGTGTTCGTGTGTGTGTGTGTGTATGTACCCGCACAAGTGTGCAAACAGGTGAGGGGGACAGCTAGCTCTCCTTAGTGTCTCTCATGCTGTCCCACCCAGAGCCCCCCAGAGCTGTGCCACCAGCCTCAGATGCTGACTGAGCAGAAATGAGCACACCTCAGGGGCAGAACCGATTTCCTTGCTTGCCCTGTGATGTCATAAAATCCCTTTTGCCTTCATTTTTCACTGTTGACTTGCATGAAGGAACAACAGGCCTTTTAACTGGGTCCCAGGGTGGATTTTTAATGACAATGCAACACAGCACATACTCAGTCCCCGCCACCTCCCTCCCCCCACTCTATATAAAAATAAATCATCCTTTGATCTTTCTAGATGCTGCCTCACTGGGGAAAGGGCACCGGAAAAAGCAACAGTCAATTAGGTCTAGTGATTAGCTTTTATGCACAGGCACGTGCACATCCATTGCTGCCTAATTAAATAAAGACAGGGGCCCCAGCTTTCATGTCCTGATGTGTCACTGTTTCTTAAAGGAAAATAATTAGCACTGCCTATGCATGAGGAAGACATTATCCTGTGACACCGGGTCTGGGCACCTCACGGAGACTGAACCCATTTCCATAACTGCTTCGTCACAGTTCACAGACCAGCTTTATTAGGAAGATAACAGAGAACAAGGAGAAATTAACATTGGGGGAAAAGGAAAGATCACGACTTCCTGAGAGTTACCTCACTAACAGGAGACAGATACAAATGCCAGGCGAGAAGCGCACGGAATCTGGCTGGAGCGGTGGGCTGTGAGCCGGGGTGGTATTTGGTGGTGGGGTCCTGTGAGAGGGTCAGGCCGTGGGGATGAGTGGGAGATATCTGGCTTTAAAGGACCCAGACGCTGGGTTCCAAACATTACTTCCACCTTTCCCTGTAGTCACGACCCTTCCTAATTTGAGGTGAGGTTTTTCGCCCGTTGTGACACTCAGCTTGTTACAATTTGTGGTTATGAATACACAAGCTTAAACAGTTAAGGCCTACGCTGATTTTCACTAAGCTTTTGCTAGAGCCAATTCCACTGAGCCAACTGGAGCTAAATGGGTTCCTTAATTTATTTTTTCTAGAAAAATATATCCATATTGTTTCTGTTTTAAGGAAAATTATCTTTACCAGTGTCAATCCTTTTCTTTTATATTTCAAAACAAAGATTAGATTCACCTGTCAGAAACTGTTGCAGACTTTAGAGATTAAGCTGGGAACAACAAAAAAATTTCTTTTCTCCCAAAGGCTTTCAAGATTTCCTAGAAAGCCTAGTGCTACTACTAAACCGAACATGCAAAACTGTCATTTCTGTAACTCAGAACTGGCTCTGGATATGTCATTTTACATAATTCAATCTGGCAAAGTGAACACTAACAATATAATATGGTTACACTCATATATTACCTCAGGATATAAATTTTATTATCTATCATTATCTTATAAAAGCATTACCTGTACATTAAAACCTCCTAACAGTGCAATAGGGTATGTGGACTGGAAATCAATTATGGTCCTATCCAAGAAAGAGTTTAGCTGAATTTGAACTATGTGTATTTCTAGGCTGTGGCATGGGGAATTCTTTCTTTTTAAAATGTATTTCCTATTTGTGCCAATTTTGTACGAACCCCAGAATACACTTGCACAACCTTAAAAATTTTTATTTAAAAAATTTAATAAATCTTTGTTCCTCAC